CAAATTCCAGGCCTTGTATCTTTCTTTTTTAACCAGATACACATGAGCCTGCAAAATGCTGTTTATTTTTTTCTCTCTCTCTCTCCACACACACACATTATTTTTTATATATATATATATATATATATATATATATATGTATACATTGTGGAGTAGTGCATAGCAGCTTGGATTGAGGAATTGGAGAGGCAAGTTCAAATTCCAGTCAAATCCATTACATTCACATGATGCTTCGGAAAGGTATTAATCCTTTTCTTCTCCCTCTAGCTATGGGTAAATAGCAGGACAGACTGGAATCTATAGCCTTGGATGGCAACTGGTCTAGGTGAAGAACAACTCTGAATTCCAAACCTGCAGAGAGTCGTTTGAGGATCTTGTAGCACCTAGTGCACCAGGTCTCTGTATTAGGACCTTCAAAAAGTGCTGTTGGTTGTGCACAAACCCTCCATCACTATAATTAAATCATATGTGCTGGTGTCTGGCTGTCAGTTCCTAGGAACTGAGCTGCTTGACATTCATATGTTGAATATAATGGGAGAGTCCACCATATATATATATGTGTGTGTGTGTATATTTAGGCAGCATATCTTAATTCAAACATGTTTCATTGAATAATCTAGGCATTTATGTAATTTAACCCTGAAAATGATCTTGGAAAAGGTTGAAAGTTTTGGGGTTAACAAAAACTATGGCACCTTCCTTGATGAATTTCATCTTAACATCAAGAAACTGATTAGACTACTGGAATGGATCAGTATAAAAAAAATAAATAGTCTATATTATTCAATGAAACAATATGTCTATATATTATTATATATAATATATATATATATATATATATATATATATATATATATATAAAACACATACCGTGGGCACCTTGAGGTGGTGTAATGGTTAGCAAGCTTGTCTTGCTAGAACAATTACAACTGAGTAGTGAGTTCAATCCTCACTGGGTGCCCCATACATTCGGCCTTGTGCCACATCTAAGCTACGCTTGGAAAATCACTATGGGGCACCTCGAGGTGGTGTAATGGTTAGCAAGCTTGTCACGCTAGAACAATTATGACTGAGTAGTGAGTTCGATCCTCACTGGGTGCCGCATACTTTCGGCCTTGTGCCACATACGAGCTACGCTTGGAAAATTGCTATAAAACACACACCTTTGTAGGTCTTAGTAATTTTTTGTTTTTTTATTAAATCTCCTGCTAACTGTTCAGCCAATCATTTTCTCAAGTTCACTAGTTAGGTTATTTGCAGCTTTCTTCAGAAATTGGAATGGATACCGCAAATATTGAAGAGAGAAAGGTTGAGGCGAGGGAGGTGATTTTTTGTTTTCTTGACTTTCTCATATTTCTTTCAATTGTATCAGTCATGAGAGGATTTTATTTTAAAAAGAGAAAAAAGCACAAGTCAAGATTATTCTCACTCTGTGCCATTGATGGCAATACAAACTGATCAGAACATGGCTACAGCTAAAGCTAAATGTTGCCTCAAGGTTACCCACCAAAAACATATACAGCAACACCAACTCATGCATTTGCATGGCATTATAAATACCCCAATATTATGTGAATGTTGACCAGAGCATTTGGGCTCCTTGCTACCAGTTGGTTGCAGCAACCAGAAAACTGCCAACCTAGTAGCCTTATAATGAAGAATTGCAGTCACTAATCAGTCAGGTCACCAAAATGTTAAAACTGCCAACCTAGTAGCCTTATAATGAAGAATTGCAGTCACTAATCAGTCAGGTCACCAAAATGTTAAAACAGTTAAATTGTTATGACCATGGAAGAAAGGACTAAAAAACTATATCTTAAACAGGAAACAAGGGATAAACCTCTACTCCTGTTCAATAAACATGCAAGGAGTGTGGCCCAGGCAACAGGAAACCCTATCTACTCCTATTAACATGTTTACTTTTTATATTACCCAATCTCCTGGGCAATTTTATCAAGACGCCATCAGTAAGAAGGTTGCCAAATAACATGCAAAACAACTTCCAGGCCAAAGGTGAATTACTGATTTATTAATATCACTCTCAAGGTGAACCCAGGAGTTGAAATCAAAGGAATATTTAAAGCTAAAAGTATTGAGAATTTAAGGTTTACATATACATATATACAAACATAATGCACATGCATACATATTGTACATTAGACATCGGAATAAAGACTTAGTCATCAAATAGAACACTTATTCTTACTAATTATATAAATATCTGTTTAAATGAATATTAGAAGTCAATCAATAAATATGAAAATCTCTCTCTTTCTCTTGCTCTCTCTCTCTATATATATATATAGACATATATATTGTGTATTTAGGCAGCAATCCTTCATTTATACATGTTTCATTAAAGCAATAGACAACGTACTGTAATTAAGGTTTTTATTTAATTTTTCTTGTGTTTGAACAAGTGTTTTCTTTTCTGGACACAGTGTGGGTAGAAACTGTCCAAAACTGTAGAAATTACTACATACCTATCCAGTTGCCTTATGTTACACCTATCCAACCACAGCTCTATTAGAACCCATTTAAACACACACACAAACTTATGAGATTCCATCCAAAACATACTAGTAGAAAATACAAACATAATAACCTCATCCACATGTAAAAAAAGATTAAAATTGATAGAAGTCTTGATAATAAAAAAGAAAAAGCCAACACTTAATAATATTAACTATGAACAAGGCCATAATGTGCTGTGTTTGGAAAATAAAACATCCCTATAACTCTAAAAACATAAACACAAACCATATACACAATTAAAAAGCAAAAATAAAATCATTCTTGATAATGGCTAAAAGTATAGCCAAAAGCACTTGGAAAATTAAATAAAATGCTCAATTGCAGTACCTTTAATGAAACATGTGTGTGTATATATATATATATATATATATATATATATATATATATATATATATATATATATAATAAAATAAATAAGTAGTATGAGATTATTGCCAAAATATATATATAAGAGACCATTCCCATTTTTTGTTGTTAAAAATGTTTGAATGATAAATAATAGGATGAAATCACCTATGCAGAAACTATTTGTCAAAAATATACAAAAGAGAAATGACTTGAAATTATATTTGTATATATATATATACAATGTAATTATATATATATATATATATATATATATATATATATATATATATAATGTTAAGGGATAATTTTTTTGTCAGTTAAGAATACTTAAGGAGAGGTTTGCGATGGAGGGTTTTTCTGATTTGTTCACTGCAAGTGCTATTTAAATTTATATTCCCTCACATCTCTTAACCAGGATAGGAAATTAAGGATTGGGTTAAGTGTGGGATTAGCTTAGAGTACATGTGTTAGACTCAGGATAGTTAGGGAAATGACAGTATGATGTTATCTATTAAGTTTTAACTTAATATATGTTTGAATATCCGCCATTAGAATAAATCATTCAGGGAATTTTTATCTTTGCCCTTATCACATAGGGATTATTCTTAGGCAAAAAATAAAATGGTGCCCCACCAACCCATTTCCAGACAATTATCTGGGTAGCAAATCAGATACATTGCATTTACATGGCTGATATTCAAATCTACTACTCTTCATAATCATATACAAAGCAGGCTTTTTGGTGAATATTGCCAAAAGAAGAAGTGATAATCAATTGTTTATGATGGCCATTCAAATAGTTAAGGAACAAAATAGATATTTCAAATCAAAAGTACCAACTACTTCAAGAACAAATTTAAACTGACAGCTGTATACAACTGCTTTCTAAGATCAATGGTTTAAAATGGCTTTGAGTAAGTGAAGCCTTTTAGTTTTGGCAAAGACCATCCTTCTTTGGATATTGTGGTCTGGTGCTACAGAATCACAAACAAAGAACTGTACCAGATAACAGAAATCACATCACTTGAAGACTTTCAACAGCAGCAACAACTAAAATGGATAGCACATGTAACTCAAAGAGTATGTAGAGCAAAGACAGAAATAAACATCAAGACAGTCAATCATCAAATGACAAAAATGATTTCTGAGTCAGATGATCTGTGCATCCTTCTGGTTAATAAATTAATCCTTTAAAAATAAATCTTTAACACTTTTCAACCAATAGGTTGCATTCCTACCAACAGAAAAAACATGCTTTGTGATCCCTTTGAAGAGTATTTAAGCAAAGTCTCTAGATGCAGAAAAGCAGGAAGGAGAATGAGCAGCAACATACAAGGTGCACAGCTTAAAATGAATTTCCCTTAGTCAATCACCTGTCTTCCTCAGCAAGCTACCTGACATTTACACTCTTCCTCATCAAGCTATGTGACATTTACACTGTTCTTCACAAAGCTACATGACATTTATACTCTTCCTCACCAAGCTATGTGACATTTATACTCTTCTTCACAAAGCTACATGACACTTACATTTTCCTTCTCCCTTGTCTCTTTCACACACCCACACACACAAAGAAATCACATTTCTTTTCATCTTAACAAACAAGGAACTTTAACACTTGTACGTGCTGAGAAATATTTACTTCTAAAAATACAAAAATAAAAATATTTTATATTTAAAAACTTTTCTCACCATTTACTTTGTTGTGGGCTGATTCAAATTCGCAACAAATATATAATGACATAATCAAAATGTTGATGGACCACAGGATTTCAAGTAAAAGGTTAGGAATGAAATGCCCACCAGTACTGGAAAGAGAAATAACAGGTACAGGAATTGAGAAACCTATTTTTCTGAAAAATGTCTTAAGAGAAAGATTTTTAAAAATTCCAGCTGACAATAGATGCTCAGTCACTGAATGCCAAAATATTTTGGGATTGTAAGAATTATTTGGAGATAATAATGATTTACTGATACGAATCCTACTATTTAATCCATAGCTGAGGTCAGAAAATATGGCTTCATATCTTTTCCAAGAGTATTTGTGCATAAGTGAATATAACAAACATGACTTCCAATTGCCAGATATTATTCATTACACCACCCACACATCCAAGCTTACAGCTCCTGGTATCCCCGAGTGGTCACCCATCTAGGTACTGATCAGACTCAGTGTTGCTTAACTTCGGTGATGAGATGAAAACTGATCTTTCAATGTGATATAGCTGTAAGATTTTCACATGTAGAGCAAGAAGTCATGTTTGGTATGCACAAAGGTCATAGAGTACAGAGCAAAAATATAAAGGAAGCAATAAAGATAAGGATGTTAGTTTAAATAATTTTGAAGTGATATGGGGCTCTCGGATTTTGCTTATACTTGGAGAATATTTTCTTTATTAAATGATTTGTAATATAAACCAAAACCATTAATCATCTGAGAAACCTCTCTCTGCCTTTCATCAGCATGGCTGATGCTAACCTCCAGAAAAGTGACTTGCTGCACCTTCTCAGGCTAACATTCTCAGCTGACATGTAGTGGAAAGACTATATTGAATAGTAAGCAATATTGACTACTAAGCACGTTGGTTCACTGTGTTGAGTGAGACAATTTTTCTCTCTAGAATCTATCATACATATTTATAAGTCTACCATTAATCCATGCTTAGAATATTGCTGCCACATATGGTCCAGTGCCCCAGCTATTTACCTTGAGCTCCTTGATAAAATGCAAAGAAGAATAAGCAATATTATCGGTCATGATCTGGCAGCTCGACTTCAGTCCCTTTCCCATCATCGTATGGTTGCCTCCCTTTGCCTTTTCTATAAATACCTTCATGGTAATTGTTATATGAGCTCTTTGCTATGGTTGCTAGACTTTTTTGAATTTAAGTACAGTACTAGACTGGCATTGAGATCTCATCAATTTACAGTTGAGCTGGCTAGATGTAATTGTAAATTCAATGCTAACAATTTCTTTTCTCACACTTCTTGTTTGTGAAACTCCCTTCTGGTTCCATGGTTTCCAGCCAACTTTAATCTGCAAAAATTTAAATGCAATGTCACTCACTCTCTACTGTCTTCCATATTACTCTTTTCTCTTCCTGCTCATTAGTAATGTTTCTGTTCCTAATTCTTCCAAACCCAGTAACCCCTTTACTGCATTGCATGGGGTGATACTGATTAAAAAAAACACTGTAGGTAAAAGTGGGCTTCATTTTAAACAAGTTTTGCATAAAATATATCTTTAGTCTTTATTGCACACAAGAGAAAAATCTTCCAAGTTGAGGTCTGTTATGTAATTAAATGATTTTATAGGATTATGAATATAATAAAATCCAGGTGAAGCAAAGTGACAGTTTGTTGCATATTGTCTAAATCTTTTCATTAATTTCAACAAATGTATATAGCATTATTGGGGTCTACCTCATGGTTGAAATGGCTGTATCTCTTATTGGAGTACTAGTGGTTATTAAAGTTCTGTTAAGAGCTGATTTTTATAGTTGACCAGAAAATTGAAAGAACACTATTTTTTTTGTAGCTTGATCTTGATGCTTGATTTAATTTAGTAAATAACTTTAACATTAGACACAGCATTTGTCTAATTTGTTGTATATGGAGAGACAATTTATCAAGAGTAATTTTCTATTCTTTTTTAGAATTGGAAGAGTTAATTTTGAAGTGACAAAGAGATAATAAGAGTACAACAATGTATGTAATTATGTACTGGAGAAAAATATTCTAGGTATAAAAGCGTTTTCAGCAGAACAACTAAAGTGTCATTCATTCAGTTGTAATATTGATTTTATATTTCTATTAAATTTCCCAATTTTGTTGTATGGTTTTCCATACTCTGGAAATTTGCCATTTTGTTTAAAATTGAAATAATAATGGAAGACAGAAGTAAAAATGAATTACAAACAATATGAAAGAAAAACATAGTAAATTTGGTAAAAATGATGGAAAATGTGAATAAAAGGTGAGAATAATGGGAAAAATAAAAAAAAATATTAGAGAAAAAACATCCCCATAGTGCATAAGGAAAACATTAATACAAGATACAAAAAATGAGAAAAAAAAGCAGCATAAATTTATGCAAAAAGCTGAAGAGAAATATTTAAAAATATAAAAGAAAAAAAGCTAAACTGAATGAAAGCAGAAATGTAAAAAAATCTAAATGAATAAAGCAGGAAAAATGGAAGCCAATTGAAAAAAAACAAAAAACAAAACAGGTTTAAAAAAAATGAAATGCTTACAGAGGAAGATGAACAACAGAAGAAATGAAAAGGAAAAGGAAGAATTGTGGTGGAATAAAAAAGAAATATGATACAAATAGAAGAAGGAATAAAAATATAAAACCAAAAACAACATTAAGCAGGTAATTGAAGAAAGATAAAATATGTGGAATAGACAAAAGAAAAAGTATGAAGTAATAATTTTGCATGATTATTCAAAACTGGATTAACAAAAGACATTAAATTGTTCCATCAATGGCTCCTTGTCCATTTTGTCTAACATTAACAAAACTTTTTTAAGCACTTATCTCCAAAAAATTGTTGATCCAGCTGTTTCTCATAGATGTTAACAATACGAAAGTTTTCTTGAAAGAAACAAAATTTAAAAAACCAATAATTGTAATTTTTCTTATTTTTCTTAATAACTGTCATTGTTTTTTTGTTCATTTCTTTCTGATTTACAAGTTGAAAGAGAAAAGTAATATTGGTTAAATTTTTTAAATCATAATCTGGTGCTTCTGCAATGTATTTAGAGATTCTTGATAAAATCAAAAGAACGATCTGCAATATTACCATTCTTGACCTGGCATTTTGGCTTCAATCACTTTCTCACTGTCATAACATAGCTTCTCTGTGGTGCTTCTATAAATACTTTAATGGCAATTGTTCTGATGAACTTTTCTCTTTGGTACCTTGATTTATGAATTTAAGTACAGTACTGGATTGGCAACAAGGTCTAATTTTACAGTTGCAATGGCTAGATGTAACCATAAGTTATATTCTAACAGCTTCTTCTTGCACATTTCTTGCTTATGAAACTCTCTTCTGGCTTTTTGCTTTCCAGTCAACATAGAGCTTCAAAAATTGTTATCTTCTGTCTGCTTAATTCCTGTTTTTTTATTGTTCACTCTCCTTAATAATGTTTTCTTTTTCTCATATTCTTTCACACTTAGTAATCCATTAGTGACTTTATTGCTTTGCTTGGGATGAAATGATTAAAAAAGATTAACTATTATAAAATCATAAGTAATTATTATAAACTAATAATGATTAATTAAAATGACTACATTAAAATGGTTATTTACTACTGGCACAAGGTCAGAGTAGTGAGATACCAAGTTGACATCAAACTCATAAATTTCTCTACAAGATAAACTTCTTAACTCTTGTACTACTGTAGGCTCCCAATTATTCAGTTACAATGAATTCATATGAAAGTCACAGAAATGGAACCATTTTTTGATCTCAACTCTAGAAATGAATAGATTCAGGGTGATAGGTGTTACTGTATGTGTTATTTTAAATTGTTATTCATCGACAAGTTTTTCTTGAATTCTTGAAAATGGAATGTTGGAATTATTTTATTTATTTTAAAACTTAATTACAGATAATATTTCAGGAATCAACTTTCAGTGTGGGTTTGTTTTCAAGTTCAATTTTTTCAACTATGCCAAGTATCACAATGTCAATCAGACAAAAATGTAAATGACTTCTTTAGGAATTTTTAAAATGAAGAATTTATCATTATAAATATGTGCTTTACAATTCGAATGTTCATCTTAGTTTGGTCATTGTACTTGTTTGACTTCACTGTTTGACTGTATCAGTTTTTATATTTTGTTATATTCTTGGAGTTTTGAACTGATCAGAGTGTTCTTTCTTTGTTGATCAGAGAAAGAACACGCACAAGAAATTCCATCATCTGAATCAGAGAACTTATAGAGGACGTCCGCCATCTAAGCCAGGATACACTTACAGTTCATGCAGTCCCAACACCCAAACCAGGATGTTTATGTGGTCCTGACACCCAAGCCAGCATGTTCCTGCAGTTCCAACATCTGAGCTAGGATATTCATTCAGTCAAGATGTCTAGGTGATCCTGACACCTGAATTAGCACATTCATACTGTCCCAACACTCGAGTCAGGACATTCATGTGGCCCTGACACTGGAGTCAGGATGTTGATACAATCACACCAACCAAGTCAAGGACATTCATAATCTCATCACTCAAGCCAAAATGCTCATACAGCCTAAAAAAAGAGAAAGTTTAAGGTTTCAGAATCACAATACTAGGTCTAATGGATTAAAGCATTGGTTAAGAATATATCAGTTCCCTTAGTAGTTGTGAGTTAAACACCTGAGTCTTGCAGTACTGAATAATTGTATACTCTCTGGTTCAGTGAAAGAAATGAACGAGTAACACAAAGGTAAATAAGACAGGTGAGTACTAATGAAAAATCTCTTAAGCTTGGATAGTGAACTGAGAATAGTCTGCCTCTGTGTATTGAATAAAGGGTTTAGTTCAAAATTCTAAGAAGATTAATAAAAATGAAGAAAGACACCTGAAGAAGAGTGAGGAATATAACAGCCAAAATCTATGACATTCAAGATGAAACCTGTTGCTTTAGAAAAGTATATAATAATGCTTCTGCATAATCACATTAACTATTATTTGATAGCTTCATGTATGGATTTTGACCTGTTAACTTATAAGTGGTTCCTGTTTCACTTGGATTACTATGATTTATACCATTTAAGAACCAACCTTTTGGTTCCTGTTTCATTTGGATTTCTAAGATCCATACCATTTAAGAACCAACCTGTTGGTTCATGTTTCACTTGGATTTCTATGATCTATACCACTTAAGAACTAACTCTTTGGTTTCTGTTTCAGTTGGATTTCTATGATCTATACTATTTAAGAACCAACCCTTTGGTTTCTGTCATCCATACCATTTAAGAACCAAACCTTTGGTTCTTGTTTAACTTGGATTTCTATGATCTATACCATTTAAGAACTCACTCTTTGGTTCCTGTTTCACTTGGATTTCTGTATTCTATAGAATTTAAATTATGCTGCATTCCTTTCAAGATAAAAGCCAGTGAGAGTAGTTAAAGACCTTAGATTTTTCTTTAGTCACAATAGCAACTGTACAAAACAGGACATGGGCAAAATCATTGTCTTTTGACTCTAAAACCAAGAAAATATCTACT